GCTGGAATGCATGTGATATGTATGTGTATATATATATATATACATGTATTTCATAGAGCTGGAATGCATGTGATATGTATGTGTATATATATATACATGTATTTCATAGAGCTGGAATGCATGTGATATGTATGTATATATATATATATGTATTTCATAGAGCTGGAATGCATGTGATATGTATGTATATATATATATGTATCCATGTATGCATATATATATATACACAATAAAGTATGTATACATCTATGTATGCATAAGTACTGTACACAGTGTAAGCTAGGTGTCCATATATTGAGTATCCTTGAAGTGGCCAGAAATGATCTGGGTTTGGTTCAATCCCATGCTATTCCGTTGTGGGCTGCAGGCTGAGATCATTCACTTAGCCATGGCTATGGCTCAAAATCAAGAGCCGTTGCTTCCACCATGTTTGGTTCAGTGTGAGTCACTTATTTAGTCTGATTCGCTCAAATTAAACCCAATTCAGTATTGATCTATCCTTTTGAAAAAACACCCCACCAAACTTGGTCTGTTGATTGGGAGATTGACAACAATTGATAATTTTCCCACAGTTGTTTGTATCATCAACTGTCATCAACCATTCTCAACCACCAAAAGGTATCATTAGCTGATCATTAGCTATCATGAACTCTCCAGAGGATTCAGGATAGTTGATCATAGTTGATGATACTTATGGAGGATCATTAGCTATCATGAATTTGATTATAGTACTACTATTATACCATACTACCATTCCAAAGGATATTATAACATACTATTTATATTTATATTTACCATCCTCCTATTCTACCATACGACTATCATTAAATGACCAAAGGATGATTCAAAATGAACTTGACCACATCTCCTGGTGCAATTTTACGCCGGCAGGCTCGGAGAGAAGCGAGTCAGCTCTCGCGAGAGAGCCAGGAGGCAGGAGGCTGAGTTTTTGATGAATGGACCATGTCAAATCCTATAGAAAATGGATCAGCCTCCAGTAAATTATAACATAGACCATGAGGTGACCCATAGAATCCTATAGAAAATGCATCAACACAGTTGTTTTTTTTAAAAGCCGATCATGATCTCTGTGACGCGATTTAGATATTTCTTGGTTATGGGTTTGTTTGAGAATGGGGATTTAAGCCCCCAAGCAAACATTTTCATAAGGAAAATGATGCTGAAGCCATAGACTTATCCTATTTTCAGAAAATACCAAATAATGGAAAATCCATGAAAATCCATGTATATTAATCCATAGAACATCATGATCTATCATGGGATTTCTGGCTTTCCTATCATTCTTGATCATAGAAAACCTTTTCTCACTGGGAAAATGTGGAACGCAAACAGTGACCGGTGACCTTTCAGGACACCCGTCAGGTGCCTCAATGCATTAAAAAACCCTTAAAGTGTAAGCAGGAATTTGTCATTAATTTCATACCCCCAAAAAACTTCAAAAAACAATTTATTCTTTATGAGCTATTTATTGCCCATACCAAGAATTATCCAATGTATATGATATATGATATATGCAGTATATTTTTCATTAAAAAGATTAACCTGAGCCAAAGTCAGGATTTGATGGCCCAGGGATACCAAAAACCCAAAGCCGGACCTGGAATCTGTGGATCTAGGTCTCCAAATGTGAAACGAAGCAGTCTAGAGATTCAATGATCCTTTGACGTGTTTCTGGGCCTTCAAATTTGGATTCAAACATCCTTTTCTTGAACACCTCATTGCCTCATTCCTTGACTGAGGGTCCCATCGGACGTGCGATTGAAAGTCAACTCCTCTCGGTGCCCGTGATTTTGTCGTCAGGCCATGCAAATGATGACTGAGATGCGAAAGGCTTGTGCGGTTGCGATGTTGGAGGTGGTTTTGGTTTGGGGATTCAGACATCATCTCTACTCCCCATACCATACCAGGGTTATCAGCAAGGGGTGACTGATGCTGGGTACCCAGGAGTGGCAGCCTTAGTAGCAGTGACCCTTTTGGCACTGTGAACCTGCTGTCTTTTCTGCAAACGGCCGGGTGTGGGGCGCATGCGGGGTGCCTCCTTCATCAGCTGTGCTAGTAGCTGGTGTGGCATCTAGCCTTTTTGGCCAACACATCCCCAGCTTGGGATGTATGACAGCGAGACGATGCGCTAAAGTGCTCGCGGGGTTCCAGGATTCCTGGCTAGCATGTTGTGAGGGGAGGCCAAACGTTGTAACATTGGCATGGCATTGCTTTGCACTCGCGCTGATGAATTGCAGTGCTGCATTTGCCATACTATCTACTGTAGCACTTGCGTAAAACACGTACGTGCTTTTGCAATAAGTGCCCTACCCAGGACCCAGCGACAACAGGCCAAGTTGGTATGTTGTGCTGGTCCGCACACCGTTGGCCGGGTGTGGGGCGCATGCTGGGGTGCTATCCACTGGGCGGCATTTTCACCCTTGAGGCCAACGCATCCTGATGTCAGGATGTATGACAGCGAGACGATGCGCTAAAGTGCTTGCCTGGGGGGTTCCAGGATTCCTGGCCAGCATGTTGTGAGGGGAGGCCTGACACTATCGGATGGCGTCTTTTGCTACTTGGAACTTGTGCTGTAATTTCCGCTCAAGGTCCAAGTCAAAGGATTCTGTGGAGGTTTTCAGAGTGGCCCGTTGGCTGATTCGGCTGTCGGTCAAACAAAGGTACCCAAGACTATTCAAAGGTGGAATAGCACAAACATGGTGAATATCTATTGTTGCGCGGCAGGTTGAAGGAAGATTTCGATGATATCACCATACCGGATATTCACATCCCGGCCTTCGGCCAATGCGAATATCACCAACAACTGATGGGGAAACCCTGATGTTGGAACCTAACCAGTCACGATCGACAGCAAGAGAATTAACGAGGAGATGCTTGGTCCTCTCCCACGTGCACGTGGATTTTGAGGGTAGTATATACTGCACCTATCAAAGTCGTCCTTTTGAGGTTGGTTGATTCAAAGATATTAAAGAGAGGTTAATCGGTGAATTCTCCTTTCAAAGCCTTGCTTGTACAACCAGGAGGTATGTGGTGATCCACTGTATATCAGACCAGCCCTTCTATTTTTCCCTATACGGCATTGTTGGTGGCCACGGTCTATATTGATACCTATGCCAGACTTTGAGGCTAGAATCGCCAAGAACGCCCCATATTCACCGCCGGAAATGTCCTATTAGACAACCCTTTGTATATATATATACATATATATATTTATACACGTGTGTATACGTATGTATATTTAAAACATATGATACAAATGTACACATACATACGTAAATGTACTGCAATACCAGTGGCACGTGTCGAAAACTGTACGAGGCACACCTTCAAGAGGTGCGATTGCTGCAACGCGGCCTCCAAGCGCGCGGTAATGGAGAGATGAGGAGCGGGGCCACGGGGGCCACGGCCGGAGCTGCAAAATCCCAGCATTTTTTCAATGGGACAATTTGGAAAATGACAACGACATCGACATCGACCGGTTTTTTGAAGTCATTTTCCTATTGAACAGAGAAGGGTGGGGATATCTTAGACAGTTTTTTTTGTTGGGGTTGTTTACTAGGAAAAAACAGTTTTTCGTTGGAGGGTTGCTGATTTGAGTCAATGCGGGGATGGGTCAAAACAATCGGCACCCATTTTGGAAGGATTTGATACAAGAAAGAAAAAACTGCAGGTCCATTGGTATCCAAATTTTGAGCCATACTCGCGTGGGGATTTGGGTGTGAGTCAATCTATATTTCCGCAAGACTGGAAGTCCAGCAGACTATTTCCTGCACTTGGAAGGCCACTTTGGGTTTCCAATGTTGCAGCTTTCAGGGATGATTTACACATGGCACATGAATGCAACCATTTTTTCGGACATGAAGATCCAACTATAATGGCTATATTGGCTATATATTTTTTCTGTGAAAACCAGGGGACTAAGCTGATGGAGTGGCAGTGATCTACCCCAGATAAGGGACGGCAGAGGGTAACACTGCAGGCTGCTGAGTCATGGTAGACACTTTCATGGTTTCGCACCTCCAATCCTTGGAACTTCTCATTTTGGGATTTGGAGGTTTCCTCAAATGTTGGATACCCCCAACTGGTTGGTTTATAATGGAACAGCCTATTTAAAATGGATGATTTGGGGGTACCACCATTTCAGGAAATACCACCATTTTGTCCTGGTTGGTGGTTTGGAACATTTTTTATTTTTCCATCTATTGGGAATAATCATCCCAACTGACGAACTCATATTTTTCAGAGGGCTTCAAACCACCAATCAGTTTCCTTTTGAATGACAGGACATTCGAATCCTTTCCAGTGAAAATATAGGGGGAACCCCCAAAAGTTGATCTGTGGGCGCAAAGTTGATGCCAGGAATAAGGTCAACGAGGCGCGTTTCTGGATGCAGGTGATTTCAATGACTCCAACTATTTGGGATGCCCATTCAATGATCTCAGAGTAATATATATATACACACATATGTTGTAATGTATTAGGTATAATATGTTATATTTGATATATTATACACGGATATCTATCTATTGTGTATGTGGTATCTGATGGATGCCTACGATATCTTTCCATGATTTTCATGCCACATTCTTCGGGAGGAAAACCACGGTGTGGTGCCGCGTCCGAGTTCCCACCCTTTGGCAATCAAAATGGCTAGCTGGGAAATCCTGTGTAAATGGCGGTTTCAATGGGAAACTTATCGAACTGAATTGTTTTTTGCAGCAAGCCATGTTTGATTATTGGGGGGCAGGCACGTTACCCCACCCGTTGGAGCTCACGTACGCCGTGGCAACTCACAACTGCAGGATGAATGCAGTCAAGACGTGATCGGCTTTAGGCTAGAGATCTATATCTATATATATATATGTATATACACATCACATATTTTTCTGCTGGATCCCAAGTTTTTCAAGTGACATGTTCGAGCAGGTTACATTGGTTATACGCTCTGGTAGTCACTGCCCCTGGCTGTGCCACTTGTGATGTCTGTGGAGGTGGCTGATCTGGTGGATAAGTTGGGGCGCGCGGTGCTGCAACGAGATGAGAACTTGCGGGAAAAGTCCAAGGCGCAGGCCGTGCCGTGGGGCCGGTGGGGCCGGTGGGGCGGTCGCTGGCTCGGCTTTTGAATCTTGAAGGACTTGGAGTTGGATTTCCGAAGAACAGCTGAAGTGGTTTATCCATGGTTTATCCATGGTTGATCCATGGTTTATCTCAGGTTTATCTTCTCCCCATTGGATACGCCTCCCAGGTGCGGCTGAACAAGGTTGAAACCGACCTGCGCGGCGTCACTGAGGAGTGCACTCGCTTGCGGAGGTACCCTGGGAGACCTGAGATCCTGGACGGCATGGGAGACTTTTCCCATAGATGTTGATAAACATTAGAGTTTCAAGGTCATTTCATAAAAATCCTTAAACATTTACTAGGTTTATTGATTATATAATTATATTTATGAATACTGGAAAATGAATTAACTTATGTAACATAGTAGAGTCTGCGGGCCAAAGGGATTGCGAAATCCATGCCCAAAAGGGCATGTAATCCTGTGAGAGTGGGTCTGAAACTCCACACGCTTCTCCCTCCTTCCGTAGCCCACTGTAATTACATAGAAGATATATGGCTATGGATCAATACCTATAGATACCATTTTTAGTGGGATGAACATCCATTTACCAGCTATTTTGGGGTTCACTAGGTACCAGGGTTTTGACCCATCCCCATATACATTCATCGTGTTTGTTGGGGAAAATTGGCAGGAAAAGATGGCTTTTACACATGTCTTTACCATCAACTACAGGGTGCCCATGAAGAACTACACAGGTGTTGGCTGTAGATTCTTCCCCTTGATCCAGTTCTGGGGAGGCAGAACAAGACCTTGAGCGACCAGTTGAAGGAAGCCCAGAGAAAGGCCTCAGTCACGGAGGGTGGTGGGGAAGAGGGGTGCCTGATGTGACTGCGGGTCGAGTCGTTGTGTATACCCTCTGATAATTTAACAGCTATGGAAAATCCCATAGTTAATACGTAAATCATCTATAAATGGGCCATTTTCCAGAGCTATGTTACTCTACTGGAGGGTACCCCCCAAAACTTACCAAACGTCAAATGATGAACCCATCCCATTCTGCACTCGATAATCTACAAAGGGACGGCCCCTTGCAGGCACGGTCCACAGACACCTAGAAAGGCACTGAAGCCGCTCAAATTGGGGTGAAATAGAAGAAGCCCAGCTCAGTTGGTCGACTCAGAAAAAGATGACCACGGAGCACATCAAATGATGAACAATTGGCTGGTGCACTTCTAAAACTCGCCAGCTACCATGCTAATCCAGTCCCCATGGGATTTCCCGACAAAAACCGACTCCGCCAGACGCCGCGAAGAACGCCAGGCGAGATTCACTCCGCCCCGGCCGGACGGTGAGGTGGTCGAGGATAGTGATGAGGCGGCGCAAGCCCACGGGGTGGCGGGGGGGGGTTGTCAGAGGTGTTTGTTGGTTTAGAATCCTCATGAAAATTACATACAGTATATATATATATATATAATATATAACCACCATAAACCATCATCAACCCTAATGAAATTGGAGGTATAATCCGCAATTACAGATACACCTTGAAAATAGCAATAATACAGTCCCCTGAACGCAAGTAAAACCGGAATTATGTTCACCAACTTGGCTAACGAACTGGAACACCACCCTGGGCAATTTTCCATGGATTCTGAGGGCGTAAGTTTCCAAGTTCTGCGGCGCTGTGACCCACACTTGATGGGTGGTGCTTTCCCATGGCTTACCCTTCTGCAATGGTTCCATGCCTTCTGCTAGATCCGAGCATATGACGTATGTACTCGTATGTTGATCCTTTTGGGGCAGGCAATCCGGGCTGATTGTTCAAAAGAAATGATGTGTTGTCTTGTAGTTTTGCTTGGCCATTAAAGATATTTGGGTATGGATCAATACCTATTAATACCATTTTTAGAGGGATGAACATCCATTTACCAGCTATTTTGATGTTCACCAGGGGTACAAGGTTTTGACCCACTGCCACATTGAAAACCATCTGCCTTGGGAAAGCAACAGTCCATGCTGCAGTCGCAGGAGTTTGAGCATGAACTCCTCGCCTTTGAGCAGAGGTCGCGGCTGGTAACGAAGAATGATGGGATGGTGATGATGGTGATGATGGTGAGGGGGTGTTCAACTTTTCATGTTTGCGTATGACACATAATGATATAATACAATATAATTTATAACACACACATATATATATAATTATATATATACATATATATATATATATTTATAATTCTAATTACCCATAATTATATACTGCATCTGAAAAAATAGTCACGATCAGTTTTTTTTCGAAAAACATGGAGGTGTAGTGGGTCCGAACCTTCGATGGGAGCGTTAAACTGGCAGTGGCAAAACGTCCCGTTGCCAATGAGAAAATCATTGGTCGAAGAGGACTCATGACTTTTCATTGCCAGGCTACATTCGCCTAGAAACATGGAACATGTGGGTAGCAGTTTTTTTTTGGAATCCAACCTGCAGTAGTCAAATTGATACATCAGCTTTTCACTTCAAGATGGTTGATATGGTTGTCTTTGTTGGATTCCAAGCTGTTTCGGCAGGAGTTGTTTTTCTCCATCCCTCGGATACCCCAGTGGTTGCAGGTTCACTATCCTGGAGGAGGGCCCTGCCGGCCTAGATATCCTGGCCAGCAACCTCTCCAAGGCAACTGAGGGCGGGATGTTCATGTTTTCATTCTTTATTTGTTGCTGTTGCTATAGTTATATGTATATATATATAAATTATACATATCATTCTTAATTACTGTGATTATACTGTGTTTGTTAGGGTCTCAAGCTTTTTGCTTTTTCATTTTCCAAATCATTGTCACTATTGCTGTTATGTGTCTAATTTTTAATCCACACTAGACGTCATTATTTATGGTGATGCCAGTGATGCCCTGGCGCAGGACAAGCAGAACCTGGAAAAACGCCTGAAGCAATCGCAGGAGGCCCGATCCCTGAAAGCCCATCGGGACCCCTCGTCCAAGGCTTTGCCGCCTTTTATGTTGGGTTTATAGGAAGCCCAAAAAAGGATGGACAAGTATTTCGAGGCATGATATTTTCATATATTTTCCCTCTAATTTCGAGGTTTTCAACTTTTCTCTATCTTGTTTGAGGTTGCTATACATACATAGGTTTTATGGCACATTTATTTTGAGATGCAGCTGAAAACCAAGACTCTCCGCCCAGACCGTGCAATCCTTGACAAGCTCCGTTGAAGAATGGAAGCGCTTGAGCGAGGAACAGGCAGCCGGACTCCGCTGGACCAGGGGAATACCAGAATTGGTACGTCACCCCCAATAATTGAAACTGTTCACCCCCAATAATGGCTATAATCCAATAACAATAAGTGGATTTTAACTGTTCAATACCATTGTTCAACTGTTGAAATTGGGCTTATAGCCGTATAGCCCACTAAGTGGGTTGAACCACCAAGAAAGAATCTCGAAGAATTAGATCATTAGTCATTTTGTGGGTCAATTGGTCCATCTATTATTGTCCAGGTGAGGGTTGGATAATTGCAACACTTGGGCTTTTCCAAAAAATCAGGAACGCAAAAACGGACTGAAATGGTCCAAAATCGTCGGAATCTACACTATCATTATTTTGCTGATTTTTGGAGGGAATAACATGGATCTTCCAAAATGTCAAAACACTTAAAATCAATTTTAGACCTGAAAGCAAAGTACTGAAGTGTGTGCTTGATGATGGGTACGTGACCCTTTGCAAACTTGCCAAGCACAATTTCAAGCCATATCATATCTGTATAAGAATGGATTAAAACCTCTTCTACCATATTGGCGGGGGATACATTCATAAATCCCAGCTATTTTGGTGTTGAAACCAAGGGGTTGCACGGTTTTGACTCATTTCATCATCGTCGTATATATCCATATATAGTGTTTTCCTGAAAATTCGAGATACACCCAAATCAGCCCAAATTCGACCGAATCAAAGACCATGGGTTTTGGGCCTCCATGGCACCCTCGATGTACCCATCAATAGGCACCCAATTGTTGGCACAGGACCTCCAGATTGCGGACCTCAACGTCAAGCTGGACCAGATGATGCGCGACCACGTCGCTGGGCAGATGTCATGATATTGAGTCTGGCCATGGGCAGAGAAAGGTTGCAGGAAACCAGGCTTTTCACCATCATGAATTGTGGGTTTACTAAGGTTCTTCTCTTAGACTCCTAGACAAATTCTGAGACTCTTGAATGCCATGCATGCCATGGCTTATTTCACAGTCTCTTTTGGACGGACATCGATGAGTTAATGGTCTGGAAACCAACACATAGTGCAGGGATGTTGTTTCTTCCCGGAGGCCACGACCCAAAGACAATGGAAACCAATGGCTTTTTCACAATCCTATTGGAGATACATGTCCGTGGAGAGGCCGCCTCAAGGATCCTTCAAGCTCCACATGTGTATATATATATAAATAATATCCTCATACAATCTTATATAATTACCCGTATTACAGGTAGATCCTCACGTCATTAGTTTGCGAGATTTGATATCTCCAGCTCTTCGTTGGTACTATCCCCCAGTCGTTGCCGAATTTCCCGGCAACGCTGCAGGCTGCATTGCAAGAAGCCATTGCACAGAAACGCCGTGAGATCGAACAGCAGGTGCGCATCCCAAAAAAAGGCCGCAGGCTGGTGTGCGAATAGCCACAGCCATCTGGGAGTGCCCAAACCATGGCCCTTACTAAAAGATACTAAAAGTACAGAATGCCCCCAGAGAAAACAAGCTGGCAAACTGGCAAACCCAATTAATTCTTGAAGTCCCATTTGGTTACAGTATTCAGGAGTGGGGCCGAGCTCCTTTTTTGTTTTGGACCTACATTTGCAGGAAGAAATCGCCTTGGGCCGGTGAACATGTGAAACACAATGGATGCTTGGGCAGTCCGTTGCTGTGACAGACTTTGAATCCATTTTTGAAACCATATTCAACGCCACAATGGAATCACAGATGCTGTGCGTTTCCCGAGCTTTTCCCCAAACCTCACCCAAAATCACCTGCAATTCCAAAGATCGCGACATATCTTCCAACCAATCATCTAATAAAAGTATATAAAAGCTAGATAATTGATCCCCCCAACATTTTTAAAGCATCTTTGTTTATCTTCCACAACCTGGCAGAGTCCTCCACTCCCCCTGGCCCTTGTCCCAGGTGGCGGAGGAGAAGGCTCTGCTGGAGGCGAAAGTGCAGGAGCTGCAGATGGAATGGTCTCCTGGTGGCAGGAAGGGAACTTCATCTGATTCATCTGATCCTATGATCAATGGGGATATTTATGGATATTTACTAACCCAACCAGCTATATAATTTCTGTTATAGATTTTTTGTCGGCCTTTTTTTGATAAAACATCTTTGGGAGATCCGTTGAGATGGGGAGATGGTCATTCAGCGAAGCACAGGTGGGGAATGGGGATTTTTTTTTGCCAACAACTGGGATGTGACATGGATTTGAACAACTTACCCATGAAGAAATGCATAAAGAACTCACAGAACTTCTCCAAAATGGCTCGTCAACTTGTCAACCATCCCGCAATGGCCTCCAAGCGGCAAAGCTATGCTCAAGGAATAGCTGCAGGTTTTTCTTCCTTTCAAGAAGGGTTTTCCCTGCTCCATGCAGTCTCACTTGAGTAGCATGAGAGTAGTTGTAACACGATATCTGATCATGTAACCACATTGAACTTTGGCGACAAATCCGAACATCGTGAACACTGAGCAGCCAGTGCAACCAAGTTTTCTAGTCGTGCCATTTCCAATTTCCACACGAGCTATAGCCCATTCACAAACTGGTCATTTGTTGAGATCGTCCTCCAAGTTTTCAAACAACTATATTTTTACAGATATTTTTAGTATATATTATATATATTATATACTACATACTTTTCTACTCTTTTCATATCTTTTTTGTTTGTCCTTGGAGATTATCATATCATCTCGCATTCGTGGGAACCTACCTCTATCATTCGTGAGCGCGCCTTTTTCCGCGCAATCCAAGAATATGAAGGGACAATGTACAGGACCCCCCAGTTTTGAATGGTAACATTTCTTTATTGGTGGTTACACAGGACCTAAGGAGCTATGAACATCCATATATTCTTCTTAAATGGAGAGTACTACCATACTACTAAGAGCTTCCCAGCCACATGATAGATAAGTGACAAAGACGGAATAGATAGTAAAAAGCCACGATTTTCCATGATAACAATCTTCAACCAAACGAAAAGAACACCAGCAAACATCCCCGCCCAGTGACAACGCTCGGGCTGTGGCGGACGGCATGGACAAAGCCAGTAACCGCGTGCAGAAGGTGGCACGGGATTGTGGGTCTCCGGGAATCAACCAATTTGCAGCTGGGAAATCCTCTGGCTCAACAAATGGGAAAGCCATTGCCATGGCTGGAACATCCTCCATTGAGTGTGATGATTCATGATGATTCTGCTGCCACGTTCGAGCACCGGGGGCTAGTAAATCATGCCAACAACCCAATGATAATGTAATCGCAATGGGATTTATAAACCCACCATTAAACCCAATGAGTTGTAAGACCACGTAAACCCAATGCCATCAACACCCTTTGGGGATTGTTGGATAAGCCATGGGTGGTTTGTAATTTGGGTCAGAACTTTCGATTTGGGGAATGATCAAAACCTACACATTTCATCACATTTCCATACGCTGGGGGGGATGAACATTCATTTGCCAGCTGGAGGTGACGACTTTAGATGGTTTGCAACATGGGATGTAGTAGGAGTTCATGGGAAGGAATATTAGCCATCAACTTTTTTGTTTTAACTTTGAGCCATTCAATAATGGTTGAACTTCAGATTTGTGGATGAAGCAACACATAAATTTGCACATATAAATTTGGGGGATGAACGAATATCAATCAATCCCAGCGATTTGGGTGTGAACAGAACGGTACCAGGGTTTCGACCCATGACGATTCGGAAAGTTTTCAACATGGAATACATGATCTAAAACATCGAACACTTTTGTTTTAATCAGCAAAGCATGAAGACTAGACAACCAAAGTGGGTAGGGTCAAGATTTGCTGTCATACTCAGGAAACTGCAGATGAATTGGTAGGAAACCATCAAAAGGTTTTAGGCTTCCTTAATTTAGACCTGTAATTACAGCATTTGGGAAACAACGCCCTGAAACTTGAGATGTGACGCCAGAGCCGATATTGCTGGATGTCTCAAGTTTGGCGCATCTCAGAGGGCCCTGTTGCTGGCTCAAGTATCATGCGGACGCGCTCGTGCGGTCGCAACCGGGTTGCCCGCCCTGCTACAGGCAGAGGGGGCTGTGGCTCCTTCCTTGCAGCGGGTGTGTGATACTGGTTGGTTATCATGGGGAAATGATGGAATATGACATGAAATAGTGAGATATCATATGATCTAACCAACGCTGAGTACAGGTAGTAACGACCATAGAATTGGGGTTTGGCCACTTTAGCACGCAGGGGTCAATCTCCAAAAGCAGAATCCACTTCTTTACCTTTGGGCCATTGCCATACCACTTCGATTCCCACACTCTTCCCATTCGGAATAGGATTTCTGAAACGGGAGTAGTAAGGGCACAGGGTCCCATCGGCCGGGGGTCCCCATAAGTTCCGCTAAAAAGACGGTCAAGACCCTGACCGCCAGGGAGGGAGCAAGTGGTGACTGCGGAGCGCGAAAACACCTTCAGCGCTTGCCGCGATGAAGTTCGGCAAGCAGATCAAACGCCTGGCAGATCCCGCCGTTCTGAACCATTACCTGGCCTATGATGTTCTCAAGAAGGCTGGTATTTTTTGCTTGCATGATCGACTTTGAAGCTGACTGGAATAGCTTCATTGGATCATTATGAGCCCCAAGGGTGGGAAGAATTTCATGGGGCCATTCCTCCGTTCGTCAGGCCATCAACGTGGTTGCACCCAATGCCCAGCCGAAGGAGGTTGGGGCAGCTGGTGAATCACTGAGTGCTGGTGGCCACTTGGGGTCTCTAAATGTTTTTGACATTTTTGTGCGTATTCTGGATATATATATATATGTATATGTATGTATATATATATATATATATGTATGTATATTATACTAACATAGAGACATACTGTATGTATATATGATTCACCAAGAGACACGGCTAGAGGCAAAGCTTTGAGTTCATTTGGATCAAGCCTTTCATTCCAATTATGACCCCTTGTATTTTTGCCAAACATGATCACATGGGTATGGGCCAAGGCCTTTGACACAAAGACCCGCGTGTACATTACATATAATTACATTACATCTATTACAATCATGAATATTATAGATTAAACATATATAGATTAAACAGAAATATATTAACATATATAGATAAACATATATCAATTAACATATATAGATTCACATATATATATAGATTTACATAATCCAATTAACATATATAGATTAAACATATATAGATTAAACATATATAGATTAAACATATATAGATTAAACATATATAAATCAAACATATATAGATTAAACATACATAGACTAAATAAATATATATATATAGAGATTCAACAGATATAGATTAAACACACACACATATATATATAGATTAACATATATCAATTAACACATATAGATTAACATATATCAATTAACCTATATAGATTAACACATATATATATTAGCATATATATATATAGATTAACATATAAAGATTGACATATATAGATTAACATATATAGATTAAACTTATATAGATTAAACATATATGTATATATATAGATTTATAGATATAGATTGACCTACATAGATAAACATATATCACATAACATATCTAGATTAACACCTTTATAGATTGAATATATATATATATATTGATTAACATATATAGATTAACATATAAAGATTAACATATATCAATAACATATGTAGATTAACATATATAAATTAAGATATATAGATTAACATATATCAATCAAAATATATAGATTCACAAATACAAATTAACATATATCAATTACCATATATAATAGATTAACATATATAGATTAACATATATAGATTAACCTAGATTGATTAACAAATATCATTTTACATATATATATATATACATATTTATATTAACATATATAGATTGATATATATATATATATTAACATATATAGATTAAGCTATATAGATTAACATATATAGATTAACATATATAGATTAACATATATAGATTAACATATATAGATTAACATATATAGATTAACATATATAGATTGAACATATATAGATTAACATATATCAATTAATATATATATATATATATATCAATTAACATATCTAGATTAACATATATTCATTAACATATATAGATTAACATATATAGATTAACACATATAAATTAACATATATAGATTTACAGATTTAGATTAATTTACATAGGTTAACATATATCAATTAACATATATAGATTAACATATATAGGTTAACATACATGAATTAACATATATAGATTAACATATATAGATTAACATATACAGATTAACATATATAGATTAAGATATATCAATTAACATATATATATATATCAATTAACATATCTAGATTAACATATATTCATTAACATATATAGATTATCATATATAGATTAACACATATAAATTAACATATATAGATTAACATATATAGATTAGCATATATAGATTAACATATATCAATTAACATATATAGATTAACCTATATAGTTTAAGATATATCAATTAACGTATATTGACTAATATATATAGATGAACATATATATATGAATTAATATATATATATATAGATTAACATATATCAATTAACATATGTAGATTAACAGATCAATTAACATATATAGATTAAACGATATAGATTAACTTATATAGATCAACATATATCAATTAACATATATAGATTAACTGATATAGATTAACCTTTATAAATTAACATATATCAATTAACCCATATAAATTAACATATATAGATTAATATATATGTCAAAGGGAACTGAACACTAGGACGCTTGTGATGTACATACTTAATTGTATATCTGGACGCCGTACTGGCTCAAGTCCGTGTGCGAGGAAAAGGGTCCGAGCTGCGCTTGCCATGTACCATCAGTGTCCGGCATTACCAGCATAACAGGTATCGCAATTGATAACTACATCCAGAACAAGGATTCATTTGTTCACAGGTTATCAGCCGTAAGGCTCACTTCTCCCGTCGGGAGAGTGGTACCTGCGTGCTGGTAGCCGGGCCGTCTGAGCAATTGATTGAGGACGCAAAGGACCAATCAGCTCATCATCGCAAAGATGCAAGGCGGTAGCGGAGATTCGCGCACCACGCAATTTACCTTCAACGAGAACACTGCCATGCCGGTCGAGGAGGTCAATCAGTCTTCCCCTGGTGATACGGCAGAGTGGTGGGATACGCTCTACCCGAACTACACAGTCCGGATGGCAAGTAACGACAAACAGACGAAGGATATCCACCCAAAGTACACCAAGATCTTCTCGAAACAGTCCTCGGAGTGATGTTGTCCGCCAAGGGCATCGACCATCTCGAGGACGAACTACTCCTAGGGACAGATCCACCAGGGCCGTGACCGACCGAGTTGGTGAGAGGACCGGGGATAGTCGTGTTAAGAGGAGATCAACGGATACTTCTGTGGCTAGTGAACCTATTGCCATGATAGAAGAACTACGGGCACAATGTCAATCCCTACGTAGTCAGTTGAACCAAATGGAAGCATACGCCGCATCTAGAGATCAACTGATTCATGACATCGAGATTAGATTCACCGAATATCTTCAGGAACACAACCAGAATGTGTTTGAGGAAGTCAGTGCACTCAATCATAGATTGTCACGTTCCGCGAATGAGGTTGCAGAATATCAAGCAGAATTAATGGTAGCATCTCAGGAAGATGAAGGTGCAACAATACGCATCCAAGACCTTGAGCGCCGAGGTGCCCTAATGGAACATGGTGCACGACGGATCCATCAACGTGGTATGGAGATCCAGGAGGAGTACAAGGATGAAGTACATCACCTTCAAGGACTATTGGGTAATACGGAGGCAAGACTTCAACAACTTCACCAAACTAATGTCTTAACCACCGATATTGCCAATCGACTATACAATGAAGGTCAAGAAATGCAGACAGACTTCCAGAACTCAATCATGGAATATCGTAATCGATCCGAAATGGCATCCTTCTCTAGCAATCAACTTGAAGTGATTAGCCAACAACAGTCGATTGCAGTTCACGAACTATCTGAACGGAATCAACTATTGAGTGAAGCTTTGGTTCAGTCTCGTAAACAGGCCGAGCTGT